GTTCTTCATAAGGAGCTTGGTAAATGAAACTTGATTTTATTCATTGTTATATTCGTGAGTTTAAAAGTCGATTTTAAAAAGAGAGTGTCAGGACAGGGGGGAAATTAGATTTCAAATGTGGCAAATTCCCGAGGTGCACGTGAAGGCAGCAGAGAGACGCGTCAGCTCATGTGCGTCGAGTCTCCGCCCCCAACTTTATTCTGAAGAACAAACAGAAACACTGAGGAGAAGAAGAAGAAGAAGAAGCAGGAGGAGGAGGAGGAGAAGTTTGATCTCCAGCTCCTCACACTGTGTCATCATCTGCAGGAGATCCGCTCCTCTACAGCAGAACCTCACACGTTATCATCATCATCATCATCATCATCTCTAAACTTTGTTCTGACCGCACGTGAGCGCATCATGACTTTCAGGAGGCTGAAGAAAGTGAACTCCAGCGGACCCGAGTCTGGACCCGAGTCTGGACCCGCAGCCCAGGACCACGACATTTATTTCCCCTCGTCCAAGTCGGACAGCTGCAGGACTGCGGAGGTGCAGAGCGGCTCCTCCGAAGTCTACAGCTACAAGACTCTGGCTTATTCTGGAGGGACGCTGCCCAGGAACTTCAAGAAGGTAAATAAAAAGAGCATTTATTAACATCTCATGTGTTCAGTTCATTCATTTCGTTCACCAGCTCAGTTTCCCTCCAGCTTGTGTCCTCGCTCACTGAAAACATCTTTTAAATCACTTTCATGTTGTTTCATTTGGATTCTTGAGCTCGACCTTGTCAGAAAAGTCACTTAAACCTGTTTAATATCAAGTTTAAGAGCTAAAGCAAGTTCCTGTACTTGTTTGATCAGCATCGAAACATGTGTGGTCTGCTTTTGAACTGAACGATGTCCAGAGACCAGCTCAGTAAAATAAAGATAAATCAAGCTTTTTATTGAAAGATAAAGATAAATGAAAATGTTTTATTGAAAGATAAATGAAACACTTGTAGGATTATTATCTCTTCAGTAGAAGGACATCATTTATTTGTAAGATTGACCAGAGACTCTGTATAAATCTATATTTTGGGTTCATTCTCCTCACATGTGGAATTCATTGTGTGTTGAGAAATGAAAATGTTTGGGGAAACTGCTCCCAGTGTATCTGCAGAGAGCGTCTCACTGTGAACAGTAGCAGCCTGGTCAGGGGGCAAGCGTGTGGACCACCCAAACACTGAGTGTGATTGATGCTGTGTCAGGTAGTCCAGGGTCCACTCCTTCACACAGACCACTCCGGGTTGTGTCGCTGGAATCGTTTTTTTTTTTTAGACAAAACGTGACTGTAACTGTGAAAATCTTACATTTTGAGTTTAATGTTCAAACATTTGCAAGAAGAGACTCAATGAAAAGTCTGTAACTTTAAAATATCAGCATCCAAACAGTAAAAATCCTTTTTAAGGTCATCATGAGGTCACTTAAACCTAATGAAGACAAATTTGACATTTGTCCATATGTTAGTTATTTCAATTGATTCACGTCTTTTTTCTGGGAAAAAACCACAAAGAAGAAGTAAATCCACCTTTTAATCGACATCACTCTCCACATAGATAGATAGAGAGTACTTTATTCATGTTCTTCAATTTCTTTTTTAATCTTTATTTGGATGTTTCACGTATCCGCAGATTCATTTACAGCATTTGTAAGATCTTATATATTCAAATAACTCGACATGAAGTTGTGTATAAAAGTAAACTGAAATAACAACTGAACACAAACAGCACAAACACATCAAGATGAGAAGAAACAGGTTATAGATCAGTTCCTGTCTTTATTTCAAAATAAAAGCACACTGAAGACAACCTCGTTGTAATCTAATGTTGTAATCGATCATTTTAACCTGATTACAACTTTAAAGAATCCAAATCTGAAGAGCAGCTGCCAGGACTGACGGCCTCCACCTCTGATGGTCGAGAATCACATCAGCTTCGGTCAGTGTTGGATAATAACTTGGCTAAACGTCTGCAAAGCTGATGGATGAACCGACAAAACTAAAAAGCTCAGCTGATTAAAATCTACAATCTTTTATTTCTTTAAACTAAAACATTTACATCCCAACTGTGAACTGGTGCAGAGACATGTGTCCCAGCGTCCCGCACAGAGACACGCAGTTGTCCACAGACCTACACATCACAAATGATCCGTGTCGCTGCAGCCAGCGGCCACAACAGTGCATTGTGCGCTCACAGGGATGGAGATCCTGCTCCAGCCGCCCCCGTCAGACTCTGCGGTTATGTGGGAATAAATACACTCATTGAGACGGGCACGGGACAATTCTGTAAGTGTTGGGGCATAAAGAAAGCAACATTTTACTGCCCAGAGCGGACTGCAGCACAAAGCCGCCTTTCACAGGGGCAGCATTTGAAAATGATTGAGTTGGAACAGAGGTGGATTGATTGTAAGTGATTTAGTGGAGCCTGGCGGACAGATACCTTCCTTATTTACACAGTCAGGTAGGGCAGGGTCCTGACCTGCTGTTGACTGGGGTTCTCGCTCAATGCAGTTATTGTGGCTGAGCTGCTGCGTCTCAAGGGGGGAAAAGAAAACAGGTAAAAAAGACATATGTGTGTGTAACTGGAAGAGCCACAGTCCTCGAATGAAGCCGGGTTTAAATCCACTAGATCTTGATTTTTATTTGGATCTGGACCAAATTGCACACACACACATAAATATCCCAAACATGCCTGATGTGTTTAGTCAAGGTCCATGAATTATTCTCTGAGGAATCAATGAACATGTTGACAAAGGTCCTAATTCACAATATTAAAGAAAGTCTTGGATCTGCCCCCGGATCCGCACCAAAATTTAATGTATTCTTCCCTCGAGCCAAACCACATCTTTTCACCAACTCTCTTGTTGATCCGTCCAGTTTTACTTCATCTTGCTCACAAACAAATTCAGATGTATTTCTCGGCCCGAGGTCACGAATTAATCAAATATGTCTTATTTGTTTGTGTAACAGGCTGGAATTTAAAAAGCTGGAAATTATTTTTAAAATATCAGACAGATCAGCAGTCAGCGCCTGAAGCTGATTGAGTTTGGAACTGGAGCTAAAATTAGGTCCAATGAGGTCGTCCTCTCTTTTGAAGACGCTCTGCTTGAAGTAAACAAAGAGCAGCCAGACGTGTATTTCTGGTTTCAGATCCAGTGTTTCTATATCGTCATAATGTGGCCCAGTGACTTAAAAACACAACCATGGTTGGCGGGAAACGCGTGCGGCTTTGTTACTCGATGGACTGGTTCGTGCACTGATGTGTGGAGAAGGTGTGTGTGCGGGAAGTTTGGGGGGTTTTACCCTCATGAGTAATCAAGCGTAAACCTCACGCAGGTGTCTGACACGCTCATTGTTTCGTTTTCTCCTCCCAGGGTGGCGGTCTGCAGAAGTGGAAACCCTTGACACTGTCACCAGAACCACAGAGGTACAATCATCCTTTAACTTCATCCTGTCTTTCTCCTCCTCCTCCTCCTCCTCCTCCTCCTCTTCACTTTAGTACCAAGCAGCTTCTTCTCAAACACTGAGCTCTAGTGACGGCAGACATTGTTGTTTGTGATATTCTTGAGGTTTCTCATGAATCCATTTTACCGCCTCTGCCTGAGAGATCTTTCAGAGCCTTTGTACTGTGGGTCTGTCTGTGACGTCCAGATGTGACGTCCAGCTGCTGGACACAGAGGACGTCCTGTGCAGGGAGCAGAGACGATCTCCTCATAAAATTTAGATTAGGACACACAAGGAAGACAGGAGTCCAGATGTTGACTTTCTGTGATATTTTCATTTTGGAAACGCTGCCGTTATAGATAATTCATCGTATCTTTAAACACTATTGTTGGGTTTTATTTCAAATTCCACTTTTCTGAGCTTCAGTTGTAAGTGTGAGCTTCTGTTTCAAGGAGATTTCATTCTTGAAATCTCATCGCAGCAGTTCAATGGGCTCAACATCCAAATGATCTAAATGTAAAACCAAGAAAAGCAGCAAAATATCACATCAAAGAACCTGCAACCATCAGATATTTTCCAAAAACTAAGTGTCCAATTATTTAATTTAGATCCTTAATGTTTTTGATGATTAAATAATAATAAAAATGTAACAGCGGTGGTTAAAATCACTAGTTTTAGCATTTTAGATGTAAATATTTTCTTTTCTTAGTCTCTTTCATTAAACTAAAACTGTTTTAGTCTCTCGATCCGACGTAAACAAGACATTTCACACTTCGGTCCTTGTGATTAACTTTTGTTCTCGACTAAACAAATGATTGGCAGATGAATTGTTATTGTTTTATTGATTGAGCAGTTGATGCCAGGTTTCATCACGTGACCTTTACAGGAAGATCCCATGATAAGAAACGAGTTGTTAAACCTGCAGGACGTTCAGAGAGGAGTCCAAATAAACAAAATGTCTTTCTGTTTTCCAGGAAGGTGGTGGTCCTGGAGAAAAATGAGGAGGATTCGTTTGGTTTTGAGATCCAGGTAAGAGGATTACTGGTGGTGGTGGTGGGGGGGGGCGAGGGTCTGAACGTTGTGAGTGCTGTTTAACAGGATTCCTCTGATCGGCCACATCATCGCTGTCAACGGATGAAACACACGGATACACATCTAGTAATTCTCTTAATCCCAGCATTTGCCTGCGCCGGCGCGCGTGCGGGGGGGTGAAAGGTCACGCATCAGTCAAATAATTTGTGGATCTTAGTCCCATGACTGGAGAGAAGAGGAGACGTGTGTGTGTTTTTGTGTATTTTAAGCCGTGCGGTTTACTCACACGCTCTCCATGTAATACCTGCTTTACTCTCATCCCACTCAGCAGACCGAGGCTTCGCACATTTGACCTCATTATCTCTGTGATCTCGCTCCATGTCGCCCTGAAGCGCCGCCGCACAATGTCCGCTCTGTCACACAGGCCTCATTCTTTAAATACTTTTATAGGCAATCGATGAAGTGTTTACAATAATGTGAATGTTGTCGAGCTCCGGTGGTGAGTCGAAGTTATTTTGAGGTGAAATGCTGCTTCAAGGAAAACACATATATTGTTCTATTTCTGTTTTCGTCTGAGGCTCCCACCCTTCCTGCCTGTGGCCAGAGGGAAGTAAGATCACGAGGGCCAGTTTGACGGCCAGCGGAGAAACAGGGAGACGAGTTTGGAGTCTCGTGTTTTGAAGTGGCGGCTTCCCCTCCCTCGCTGTCTGTTATGTTAACACTGACGTTGAGCTCAGGAGCCGGGATGTAAATTTGATATTTGCATTTCAACGACATTTGCATGGTTTTATGTTTATCTAAGGGAACCAGTCGCCAGGCTCAGATCTGAATCATTGCAAATTTCCACAAGACAAATTCATCCAAGTTGGATTCATGTTTTAAGAGGAACACTTGTGTGCAGATGGAAAGTTTGATTGCTCCCGTGTTATTTTACGTGTTGAGACTGTTGGCTGAGGTTCAGGCTCCTGCAGCAGCAGCAGCAGCAGCACGTAAAGTCATGTAGTTGTGTCACAAAGGGAAGTGTGTCTGTCACCTTCTGCAGCGAGGCTGTGGTGACTGAAACAAGGAAGATAATGCAAATGCATGTGGAAGTAACGCACAGTGTTTATACGTCAACAAAATGTTGAGGTGGGGGAAGTGCTCGCATCATTCACCTTGGTTCATTTTATAAAATAAAACTTAAACTACATAAGTGACATCAGTTTAATCTGTTCCTCTCATGTCAACAGAAGATCTGGGTTTTAAGGCCTCGCTATTTTTAGAGGATTCATTGACCAGATTATTAACCGATTAACAAAGATCATCAGATTAATCGACAAGGAGATCATTGTTTGTCGCTGTCCTCGTTTACAGGCTCCGTTCAGATTTTTTTACATAAAAACTTCCTCTGTTAAGTAACAAGTCGACGTAGCTTTGAAATACATGAAGTGGAATAAAATGTGAATCAACGAGTGGATGGATTTCCATGAAACTTGATGGAAGGATGTGGTACCGGTCAGGGAAAAAGTTTTTTTTTTTTTTTTACTTTCTAAAACATTGTGAGAAGTTGTTCCAACATTTTCTCACAGAATAATTAATGGATCCCGATGAAAAGAATCATGTTCATCTTATTAAATGTAAGGGGACTGCTGGGCCGTGGAGGAGGAATTGGCTCCACTCACTGACGAGTTAGTTTCTTCATGAGGTTCATTTGAGCAGCATCTTGATAAACTGTCGGATTTCAGTGTCAGTTTTATGGTTGATGTCAAAAAAGTCTCTCCGTGCCTGCGTGTGGTACGTCTCGGCATGTGCTGCGATAATATGTGGTTTCCTGCATTGTCCGTCGTGGCTTCCTCAGGGACTCGGTTCAGTGGCTTATCAGCGTTGCATTTCAAAACTGCAGACATCAGTCAGATCGTGTCAGATAATTCTCACGCAACGAGAAAGAAGAAAGAAAAGAAACCTTTTTTATTTCTAATGTTCAGTGTTTGTTGCTGTCTCCTCCAGACGTACGGCCTCCACCATCAGGACCAGAACTCGGTGGAGATGTGCACGTTTGTGTGCAAGGTGCACGGCGACAGCCCGGCCCAGCAGGCAGGACTCAAAGTCGGTGAGTTGATGTTTTGTGTTTCTCCGTTTTTATCTTTGCCGCATCTTGAGCCTGTAATACGCTGGAAAATGCTTGAAATAGAAACGAGGGGAAGTGAGCGTGACGGGAGCTTTTGGTTCAGCTCGTCCTTTCTTTGCCAGCTGACACTTGTTTACCGTGAGTCAACAACATCACCCCTGAGTTTCTGCCAGCTGTTGAGGGAAGTACAAACACCACTTCCTGTCGGCTCATTTTATTTCAGTGAGCGGCTTCTTCAGCCAACACATGCGTGCCAGCTCCTCTCACCAACGTGTCAGCGCGAAGCAAAGATAAACAGTTGTTTTTGTTTGGCAAACATGGCTCACTTCCTGTTCCCTTTTTTAATCCCTCAAAAATGAGGCTTTAATTAAGCAGCAGCATCAGTGGATTTGAAACAAACAAAAAGTGAGATGAGGAGACGCGGTTCTTCTATAAACCGTCTCTGGTTTTCAAACCGGTGACCACTCAGTCACAAGCTGTCCGCTCTGAGCCTGATGAAAAAATCTAAATGTTTTGATCCCTCTCCTCTGTCCGACCTGCACACGTCACTTCAGTTTCACTTCCTACATTCCTCGCATGCTCGCTCCTTTGTTCCGGGCGTCTTGCTGCAATCACAATGACTTCATCGCATTAGGCAGAGGAGGCGTCGTTCTTGAAAGAGGAAAATAGGCTTTGTCCTGAAAGCTCACAAAGGCCGCTGTCACGCCTGAAGAGTCCACGCCGCGTCTAATAACATCACACCGCTCCACTGGAGTGACTCACATCAACAAACAAACCAATTCTGCATCTGTTGATCTAAAGGAAATCAAGTCAACTATTTTGATAAACATGATCTCGGATGATGACGTGCTGACGATGACGCTCTAGGAAATTCTGATCAGCAGTTAATTGAGGAAATTGTTTGGCAGATTAATCAACAACTGCTCTGAGGCATTGACATCATGACGCGAGGTGACTGCGGCTCGGAGAGGAATCGAACGCCACGACTGCACATCCACATTTGTGTTGCACATGTGGGAAGGATTCATTTAGAATCAAATGAGCCTCAGTCGGCTGCAGCTTCGCAGTAACTGAAGCCGCAGAGGATTGATGTGCATCCTGACGACTGCTGGTTAACTCACGTCTTCTGTTTTGTGCGTGTGTGTGTTTACAGGGGACACAATCGCGAGTGTGAACGAGGCCTCCGTGGAGGGATTTCGGCACAAAGAAATCGTTCAGCTCATCAGGGCCTGTGGAAACACACTCAGGTAAAAACAGACTCACTGGAAACAACAACAGCAGCTGGAGATGTTATGAAATGAGAAATTCCAATCAAAACACTGGTGGATTGATAATTGATTACAGAAAAACACACCACGTGACATGTGAAATACAAGACACATGTATCCGTCTACTTTTATCCTTTGACTGTAAATAAATATCTGGAAGTTTCAACTTGTATTTTTCATTTTTCATCGACTCCTGTGGAGAAAGAAACTCACAAGTGAAAACTAAACCTCCAAAGTGTCTTTAATTTTGCATCACTGTCGAATATTATTATTTGCGCGACAACAATTACCCAACTGCCAAATATACTTGTTACGGACTATTTAAATTTATTTCACAAACATTAACAGTCTGTCGTGGGAAGTGAACGTCAGTGAACCAGTTTGCGGTCGTCGCCTCAGGTTGTAGGACTCAAGAAAAGAACCAGCAGATCAATCGATAATAAAAACACAGTCGTTAAATGATTCTGTCAGTTTACTGAGCGGATGTTTAATGTTTTGAACCGCCCTCTTTCTCTGCTCGTAAAAAAAAACATTGAAGTCACAGTCAGCGAGGCCTCGTCCGTAAACGGCTGCAGAGGACGTGAGGTGAACTGCATCACAGTGACTGACATCATCAAATTAAAGTTACAACTTGAGCCCGTGTAAAGTGTAAGAGTGAAAACGAGCAGCCTGTAAGCCCCCCCC